ATATATATATATATATATATATATATATATATATATATAGCACTGGGAACTACTGATTGCCCTGTCTTCTTGCTTTAGGAAGCCAAAAATATCAGACGCATGAAACTAACAAAAGGAACTAGAGGATTAGCGTTATTTAGCTCTTCCAGAGGAAACAGCAAGGCAATTAGGGAAATGCTATGGAGACCACCCAATGTGATTAGATGTGGTGGGGCCGAACGAAGTGGACACTCCAACTCCACCTCTGCATTAATTCGGTGCTTAGCCAAGCTTCTAACACGCACGAGTTGCAAACGTGAATTAAACGGGCTGAGGTTTGAACCAGATGTGTAAAGCCCACAGGGGTGTAACCCGCCTGTCTATTTACTGCCATAGTCTTTCGGGCTACACTTCTCCATTGCACCGAGGACGCAGCCATCGATACTTGGAAGCAAAGTGCTGCTTCATCGAAAAGTGGGGGTCGTTCTCAGCTTGATACAGTACTTTAATACTGTAACCGTTCATCTGGAGGATCCTCCCCAGAACACGAGGAGGCTCCTCCGCAGGAGGCTCGTCTGCAGAGAACTGGTCCACCAGAAGACGAAGCGGAAATGCTTGCACCGCTTCGTGTTGGCCTTCTACAAATCGTAGTTTGGGGTCTTTGATTAACCTACCACCACAGGGAAAGTAGAAGTGGGCACGGTTGACAAAAGTATTCTCAATTCGCTACATGAGAATACGTGCTAAATAAGAAAGACCTTCCAGAGAAAACGGTTCCTCGCTCGACACCTGGTTCATCGCATTATAAGCACTCGGAGTGCGCCTGAGCTGCTACATGAGAATACGATAGTCCACGCAAGCAAAGACATGCGTGTTTCCATTCAAAAGTTGCTTTCTTAGGGTCTAAGATCTGCGGGGGTTTGTGGCCTGTGCAGCCCTAGAGTGGGCCCAGATACAGTAAAGACACAGGCCGTTTAGGTGTGGCTGCTGTTGCTCATGTAGACGTGCACAACAAAGGAACTCTGAAAAACGAGGTTATGCAGTTGCTTTCCACCCATACGATTACGTTTCGGAGGATTCGCATGCCCTGCTTAACACAAAGGCATCGTCCAGCCAAAAAAGTTGTCCTTTTGTTGGGTAGGGCCATTTGGACTGCATTATGTTGACAGGGACAATGTTTTGGGTTGCTGTGCAGGTCCACATTCCCTATGAAAACGCCGCAGAATGAGCAAGGTCGTCCCTTTACATTAGTTCTGGGAATCCTAAAAGCATTTCTTTGATATCAAGTCATGCAGATTGAAGCCAAAAACAACTGGCCAAAGGAACAACTGGAGGAGGCACATGCTCGTGGGCATACGAGCGCCCAATGAAAACAAAAAGCGTGCAGTGCATTAGAATAGCTAGGAAATCGAAGAAGCAAGTGGAGTTTTGAGGATGGAAACTAAAACTGAATTCTCGAACGTCGTTTTTGCACCTAATCTGCAACGCAGCGGGGAAGATCTCACGTGTAAACACGCACAGGCTAGCTTTCAGTGTTACCACGTGTGACCTCGTGTTGGCAGTTACTTTGTCATTTAGAGAAACACTAACAGCTCTACGAGGTGTCCGGTGCTAATTATTCTCCCGTCGTGGTATGCAGGGTTCACAGTTGTTATAGTTACATCAATGACGCCGACAACAGGCTTCCTTCATAGTTCTTGGTTGTCCCCCATCGGTGGACTGCCTCACCATGCCTTGCGAGCATACTGATTTTGCTCGTCGGCTACAATTTATGACATTTTTCTCATTGTGTTGGGATTCTTGAGTTAACCAGTATACCTCAAACTAGGCAAACGGAACAGAACATAGTACGCGGCCAGTGGCTGTGGCAGTTGGTGGGTTAGGAGCAGCGAAATGAGTGCAGATAATAGCGTGCTCGCATCCTCTCCACCTGCATTAAGAATTACGACTTTTCTAGCTATCTGATTCCCCTCCCTCTGTGCATCCCTACCGCATTTGGTGGCCATGGCGTGCGTTGCCTGGCGAAGAGGGGTAAGGGCAGAAACATGGTTTCTCTGAAATTGGTACCGCGTAAACGTATTTGGCTGCACGCTGTTAACAGAAGGCCCAGGAAGTATTGAACAATCATCTACAACGTTAGCACATCCGCCTAACGGCGGGTTTGAGCATGCCTCCATGCGCACAGTGCCGCCCTCCTACATGACTTGCCGCAAGGCGCATTGCAATTCAACACACTAACCCTAAGCCCGGCGTGCCCAGGACAAATAATGAGTGAAGTGTAGGCCAGCGGCATTTGGGAAACAGTCACTTCTCGGCTTTTATGTTCTTCTGCGGCGGGAGCAGGTCCTCTTTTAAGATTGTCCCCCGTACGTACAATGGGGGAGGCGCTGCGACGTTACACTCGGCGAGCTGAATTGAGATGTATACAAAGCAGCACGAACTGTCCATGAAGAGACTAAAACAGTTCAGGATCCCTGGGTGAAGACCTAAGACCAGCGCATGAAGCGCAGGAAATACCAACAGGCGACAGGGGGAGTGTGACTCTGCCAGGTTCGTTTTAAGCAATTTAATTGTTTCATTTGGTTTAACGCAGTGCGAGTTGTTGGTGGTTGAGGTGTGTGGAGTGGCGAATCGCGGGGACAACAAAGAGCTGAGGCGAGCAGTCAACGGCCACCCGCACCCTAGCAGAGAGGAGCTACTTCGGCCTGGGTGGCCAACTCCGGTGTTAAGCATTTGAATTAATGATTAGAATTAAAACTGAGCACCAGAAATTAGCTCAGGTGTAAAGACAGCTGGCAGCAGCCATAGCAGCTGCGAGCGTCCTTCGGCCCACTCGCCCGTAGCCATGACCCCAAAGGGTAGGTCTTCTCTGTCTCTGCATTGTGTCTCTTGTTCCTCGTTTCTGAGTCTGATTCCCATAACATTCTTCATCGGCTTCAGAGTTTAGAGGGAACGGCCTAGGGCTTAGACCCGTGTGTCTGCCCCAGGTGTACGTACTGCAGACCCCGACGGTGGGGGCCACAACCCTCCAGTTCTTTGAAGTGTGGCTACAACAAACAACTATATTATTTCTCTGTGTACATTCGAGGGGTAGTTTAGGGTTTAGGGTTTAGGGCTTGGATTTCGGCCCCTCGACTGGCCCGCCACCCAAGAGCTCGCGCTGACCACAAGACTGCTGGGGTTTAGGGTTTAGAGTCGGCGCTCACTGTGGAATACACTAATGTCTGCTGCCTCCTACACATCAGGACATTCAACATCTCCTGCTGTCTTAGACGGTATCTCCAGGACCCTGGGGCCCCAGGGCTGGGGCCCCCCCACCAGGCCCCTGCCCTGCTGAAGCAGCAGCATCTGCTGGTGCAGCAGTGGCAGCAGGTTTGTTAGCAGCAGCAGGCGGTAAGGAGGCCGAAGTAACGAGTGCAGCGACGGCGACAACGGCCACAGGGGCAGCCGCCGCAACAGCAGCATCTGCGGCAGCAAAGGCAGCAGCATTCACCGTCGTAGCATTTCTCTATACAGCAGAGCTCTTCTTTTTTTTTCGTGGAGGTGCCGTCAGCTGTGCTCGCCCGTCTAATGGAGTGGGCGAGCCCATTTCTCCCACGTTGAAGACCCTAAACCCTAAATTGTAGCAGCAACAGGGGTCTAGGGTCATGAAAGCAAGCTGCCGGGCTTCTCCTGCTGCAGCAGTTGCTGCTGAGTCTGCTGCTACTGAGGCATCACCAGCAGGAGCAGCAGCAGTGCACAGCCCTGCCCATCCTCCAGGTATTCAGTCTGCAGCGCTTCCTCCTCCCCGTCGAAGCAGTGGCAACAACAGCAACAGCAACACAAGCAGCAACAGCAGCAACGGCACCAACATCAACAGCAGCCCCTCCATTAGGGCAGCCAGCGCTGCTCCGGCCAGCAAGTCCCCGCCGTTTAGGGCGGGGCAATCAAGGACAGCAACAGGAGCAGCAGCAGTGACAGGCGGACAAACGCTGCAGCAGCGCTGCAGTAGCAGACTTCATGGGCTATCCCCTCTTCCAGTCGCTTTCAACTCCACAACCCGCAGCAGCAGCAGCAGCAGTTGCTGCACTGGCGATCTTCAAGGAGCACAGCAGCAATCGGACCTTCATGCGATAGACGTTGACGCTGCCACTGATACTCCCGCAGCAGCAACAGCAGCAGCAACGGCAGCAAAGAGTTCTTCAGGGAGCCTTGCGGGATATGCGCAGGAGGAGGAGATGATGACGGACAACACTGTCAGCCTGCAAAGCGACTCTGCAGCGCCAGCAGATGCAGCAGCAGATGCAACAGCAGATGCAGCAACAGATGCAGCAGCAGATGCAACTGAAGGCGACCTTGAAACAGAAGAGGCAGGCGAGGAGACAGGAGACAGCGATGCAGAGGCAGCAAACACTGCAGCAGCAGAGCAGCAGCAGCGCAGACAGTCGAGCAGGCAGCGTCGAGTTACTTCCGCGCCTAGCGGTAGCGTCCGCAGCAGCAGGGTCTCTTCTGCCCGCAGCGCACCAGCAGCAACAGCAGCAGCAGGTGCTGCTGCTGCAGCCACTGCAGCACCGAAGGGCGAGGGAGGTACAGTGGAAGCTGGTGAAGCAGGATGCAGCTGGGGAGACACTCCATCTTCAAAGGGCAACGCGGACCTTGTAGCGCTTAACGATGCAGACAAAGGTGTCTTTGCTGCTGCTGCTGCTTTATTTGCTGCTGCACTTGCTGTTTGTGTTGTAGTTGCATTGCGCTTGCTGCTGGTGTCGGTGGTGCCACTGGATTTGCTGCTGCTACGATTTACCTGCTGCCTCTGTTGCTGCTGCTGACTCTGCTGGTCCCGTTCTTGTCATTGCTGCTGCTTCTGTGTGAGCCTGCGGTCTTGGGTGCCGTTTCCGTTGCTTTTGCGATGGCGGCTGCTGCATGTGCTGCTGCTGCTGTTGCTGTTAACGCTGCTGCTGCTGCAGAGAAGCACCCCGAGTGGTACGAGGGGCCTGTTGGGCCCTGCGAGGCGACCCATCGTTGCTTGTGTTGGTGGCGATTTCGACCAACAGGGAAACATCAGCCTGGGTTGGTCATTGAAGACCTCGAGTCCGAGGTGGAGGCGAGTAAGTGAAGTTTGAAACCCTAAACCCTAAACCCTAAACTCTAGTCGCTAAACCCTAGAGGTGAAACTGTTGGCATGCACAGATGCTGAGGAAGCCGGCAGCTGGCGGGCTTGTTTTATCTCCTGAAGGTAGACTGGGTTAGGAAATCTGTAGTGTCGCTGCTGCCGTTAAGGATTTAGGGTTGAGGGTCTAGGGTCAAGGGTTTAGGGTTTGGTGTTGTGGTGATAGAGCGGATGACGCCTGCTGTGCGCGATACTCTGCTGGATGGAATAGCGGGGAGGGGACACCCTGGCAGATCGAGTGCCTTAAAGAATTGCGGCGGCAAGACTGGGATAGTGGTGGTGATGAGCTTAGAGGATTTAAAGTATTCTCTATGCAATTGGGCTAGCACAAAGCCCATGGTGTGTCTCCTTACGATATAGAGACTGTCTCCTTTTCCTTCCAGCTGTCTCCTATTTCATTCTCTTTATCTGTAACTTTAACTCGGGTGTCTTGGCAGTCCTTGTCTTTCTTCTCCATATGTCTGCTGTTGCTTAGCGCTTGCAGCGTGTATTCTGTCTCCTTTGTTCGTCGCTCCCCCTGCTGTCTCCTCTTTTGCCCCTTTATCCTCTTTGTCACCTAGCTGTCTGTCTCCCCTTCTACTTGTCTGTCTCCGGCTGCATGTGTCTCTTTTTGCCCGCCTCCAGCTTGTGTCTCTCGAGGATCGCCATGAATGGTCTCAGGTGTCTTTGCATAGGCCGTTGCCTTGCACAGGGTAGGGTTTAAGACAAAGAAGATAAGGGTTTAGGGTTTAGGGTTTAGGTTTGCGTTCAGCCATTCCCCGCCGGGAGTCAGCAGGCACGCCTCGAGAAGATAGCGGGATATTCCTTAAAAGCCCTTAATGCATTGGCGAGAGCAAAAAAAATTCTTCAGCTCAGGCAAAAGTACAAAGGTAAGCCCTCGCGCATGCATGCAAACAATATAGCTGGTGTTGGATTTGCTGCTCCGTGCTGCTGCTGCTGCTGCTGTTGCTGCAACAGGAGACAGGCAGATGTGTGCTGTGTGCATGAGTACAGACATGAAGCATGGCTGTCCTGCTGCACTGGAGAATCAGTTGTTGGATACATTGGCGAGGGAGCAGATTAAGCCAACTCATGACATCGTAAAGCATCTTTTCTCTGTAGGTTACTCTCTGCTTGTATCTCCTTCTCTTCCGTGTGTCTCCTTTTCTTCCTTTTGTCTCTTTTCTCCTCCCTCTCTCTCCTTCGCTATACGGAGAGCAAAGCAAATGCCTCCTAACCTTCTTGTACTTGTTCTCATCTTTTCCTCCGTTTGCCGTCCTCCTGTGTCCACGTTAGCTATTGCCACCTCTGCTGCTGCTGCTGTCTCTTCTTTTTCAGGTGTCGGCGGACACGATTATTCAAAGTTACACTACAATGCCCCCAGGCAAGATTCGGTTCAGGGTTTAAGGTTTAGGGTTTAGTGTTTGGTGCGGCTGGTACATTAGGGAGTTGGGGTTTAGGGTTTAGTGTGTAGGGATTGGGGTTTGTGTTGTTGGCGCAGGGTGGGACTGGGATGCGTATCAGAGGGAGCAAGAGGAAGCTGCTCAGCGGAAGCGTTCTCGGGAAGAAGCAGCAGCTGCAGCAGCTGCTGCAGCAGCTGCAGCAACGGGCAGTCGCAAGCGTCGCGCAGCAGCAGGGGTGGCCCTGCTTGCTGCGGCAGCACGGAGGGATGACGAGGAGGATTGTGGTGGTTTGGAGTTGGCTCCTCAAACCCCCACCAAACCCTCAGCAGGAAAACACGGTGTAGATTACTTCTATAGGGGAGGCCGTAGGGTTGTCTTAGCGCGCACTCCTCCTCTTGTAAAGCAGAGGAGAGGGGAGCTGCTGTCTGCTACATTGGGTCTTAGCCCGCTTGACGATCCTCTCATGGCTGCTGCAGTCGGGCTGCTTCCGGAACAGCAGCAGCAGCAGCAGCTGTGGCCGGCTGTCGCGCCGGGAGCACAGCAGCAGCAGGATCAGGAGGCACTGTTGCAGCAGCGACGGGAGCAGCAGCGGCTAAGCGGGCTGTTGAATGGCTTCTCTGGCCAATGGCTCTCTATGATGAGGTCTCTAGTTGTTACCCGAGGGCAGCTGCTGCGGCTGTTGCTGCCTGTCCCTTTGGATTTGCTGCACAATCCAACAAATCTCTTCGCGCCGCTCCCGCCACTGTTGTCTCCTGTGCTCCTCATGGAGGTGGCAGTCCGGCACCAGAACCCTGCTGCTGCTGCACACCTGCTGACAACAAATCTGCTGCTGCACCGCCTTGCAGACACCGTGGCTATCCGCGCCTTAGACCCAGCACAGAAGCGCCTAGCCTTAGAAGAAGAACCTCAAAAGGAGACAGCGCGACCCTTCAAAGGAGACAGCAGACAATCTCAACAACGCACCCCACATGGAAAGTCTACTCCACGTAACCAAAACACCGGTAGGCATTTACTCCTCTTATTGTGGTCACCACTCTGCTGCTGCTGCTCTTGCTGCTGCTGTCGGTTTGCTGTTGTTTGTGCTGCTGCTGCTGTAGTTTGCGTTGTTATTACTCCCTTTGCTGCTGTTGCTCCAGCCACGGCTTGTCCTGTACATTGGGTCTTTTTGTTCGGATTGTTTTGCTGCAGGGGGGAGCAGCTGCTCCGTGAGGTTTGAGATGGGGTATTCTGTTTGTCTTTGTCTGGGTCTCCTCTATGGCCGCATGAATCTAAACCAGCTGCCTCTTTATACTGCTGCTGCTACTAAATCGCAGCAGAAGCAGCAGAAACGAAAACGACAGCGCTTCTGCTGCGCTCCGTGGATAGGGCTGATGACGGGGGAACAAGTGGCTGCGCGCAGGAGGCAGGCCAAAATGCAGCAGCAACAGCAGCAGAAACAGGAGCCGCATGATTCGTCTGGTTCTGCTGTCTCCAAAAACGGACCTGCTGCTTCTGCTGCATCAACCAACGACAGCAACCCACCGCTGCAGTGCGGCGGCCAGGGAGGCAGTTGTTCTGTTGGTTCTGCTTCTGCTGTGGGTCCCGCCGCTGCCGCTACTGCTGTCCAGGGCCCGTTGGGTAGCGAGTCGCTGCCCACTGGTGTATCCTGCAGCAACGACGGCTGCAGCAGCAGCAACAGTGATTCTACTGCAGCAGCAGCAGCTCCGGCTGCTTCCGGTGAATCGAATACTGGAACGGGTGCCGTGTGCCCCAACGGCACCTCCGTAGCCCCACCTGCAGCAGCAGCAGCAGCAGCAGGAACAGAAGGAGAGGGTGATATTGACTGGGAACCTCCTTGGCCATCGGCTGCGGGTATAGAGCCATCCGTGCCTTTGAATTTGTGTCTCCTAACGATTCATTGCAGCTGCGATGATGAGGATTTCCTTCTTCGCGTATCCCTCGACAAGGTGTGCTGCTATTGCTGCTGCTGCTACAACTACTAGCACTCCTTGTATATATATGTTTGTATATATATGCATATATCTGTGTGCATGTACATATATATACATATGTGTATATGTATACACATGTATTATATATACGTGCTGCTGCATTGCCGTTGTTGCTGCTGCTGCGCAGGTGAGCGACCAACCACCTTCCTTGTCGGAGTTGGAGCGATGTTACACAACGCACGGGGAACGTTTTTCTTTGTCTGCATTAGATCGCCGTCTTTCTAATTTAGGGGAAATAGAGACACAAAGTCGTGTGCTGCTGTCTCTGGTGGAGACAGCACACAGCTGTGTTGCCGCCCGTGTGGCAGCAGAAAAGGAAATAATTAAAAAAGGAGGAAAACATCTAATACTCGCAAGAGTCCCCACCCGCAATATACCCGACACGACCCATGGCTGCGGTGCCAACTGCACCAGCAGCTGCTGCAGCAGCTGCTGCAGCAACAAAAGCTGCAGCAATAGCAACTGCAGCAACAGCAGAACCAACAATGCCGCCAACAGCACCGCACCACCAGGGGCGACCACTTCGAAGAAACGTCTTCCTGCAGGAGACGAACTCTTGCAGCTGCCGCAGCAGCAGCACCAGAGCCTTTCTGAGGACCGCGCCTTCCCTGAGGAACCTGTTGCTGTCAACAACAACGGCAGCAGCAACAGCAACAGCAGCAGCAGCAACACGGAGGAGGTTGTGGTAGATCGGAGCGAACTGCGATTTGATTGGCAGTTGCGGGGAGTTGCTGCTCGCTTGGAGGCAGAGAAGGTGCATGGGAGAGACAGTGCAGCAGAGGCGCAAGGCACACAGGGGGGAAGTGTTGCTGGTGATGCTGCTGCTGCTGTCTCCTTGTCACAGAGCTACTCTGCCCTCTTTGTGCTACTCGAGTCCATCAGCAGCCATATCCTGCGGGCTAAGTCGGCGCATCTTAGCTGCCATCTCCGCTGTCTAGAAAGAGACGCCCTAAACACCAAGAATCAGCTGCTGCAGCTGCAGCAAAAGCGACAGCAACAGCAAGAACAGCAACACGACAAACAGAAGCCGACACAGGGAGCAGGGGATAGAGAAGAAGATCAGGCACGAGCAACGCAGCTCTTGCAGCAGAATGCAACACAAGAAGAGCTGCAGCAGCAGGCAACACGACAAATGGAGCTGCTGCAGCAAGGGAAAGCACTGGTCAACATGTACGCAGCAGAGCAGCGGCAGCAGCAGCAACTTTTGAATCACTGGAAGTCTGTCTTTAACGTTCTCGTGCATCTTCCCCCAGGAACGCCCCCCAATCCCCACATCCGCAATGGCAGGAGGCTGCAGCGACTCTTCTAGCAGCAACACACCTGCTGCTCCTGCTGCAGCAGCTGCTGCAGCAACGGCTGCAGCAACTCCTGTGGCCTCGCAGGTTCCCCTATGCCTGGCATTAGCCAGGTGCAGCTATAGGGCCGTCTGTAGTTTCCGTGCTTGCTTTGTGCAAACTTAAAGGGAGTTGCATAGGGGTAGAACCTATATAGAAGGCCCTTTAGGTTTAGATCTTTGTGGGGTGTGGTGGCCTCAACATGCTGACCCTTCGGATGTACATGCAGACACCCGAAAGGGAACAGACGACCGAGCGCTCTGATGTTGGCGTGACACGAGTTGGGATCGGTCGATCCCAGCCCTCGCCAGCAGCTGGCGAGAGGTGCTAGAGGGAGCTGTGAGGAACTTATTGTTTATGTCTTTATTCTGGCTGTCTTGGCCTCTTTACGAGGCGGTGTTATTTTGTTCAGCCGCAACTTGCCGCTCCTACACCGATACACCGCTTTCCCACAGCAGTCCTATCCCCCTACAGGCTGGGTAGGGCTAATATCAATTTACCTTCTGCAGCTATATGCAGCCGCCGCAGGCAGCAGCAGGCGTCAGCACAAACACCCAGCAATAGCCACCAGTAAAGAGGAGAAGAAAAAGCAGAAGCAATCGGCAAAGGCAACAGAAACCGCGAGAAACGGCAGAAACAGTAGGAGGAAGCTGCCGCTGCTTGGATTGCTGCGAAGCGCCTTACTGCGAACACCGCCTCCTCGTTGTTGGCAATTGACGTTGTTTAGCTGAAGTTGACTGCTTCTTCTGCCCTTTCCAATCCCTTTTGTCTTCTAATTATTTGGCTACTAGTTCCAACAATTGCTGTATTAAAAGGGTTAAAGCTAACCTGTACAACTGCTAGGCCCTTCTTCCGATCTGGGTGTTGCCTTGCGCTAGTTGGAGGATTAATGTGACGACTCTAGTGTTGTTTACTGTTAAACTTGCTCGTTTTTAGTGTTAAATTCCCTTTTAAGTGTCCACTTGTTTACTTATACCTCTTTAGTGTTTGTTCTTAGGAGGTGACTCGGGGAAACTGCACACGGCAGCTTGTTTGCTGACTCCGCCTTTGTATACTTGAAATTGGGGGAAACAGAGTCCTTTTTTATTTAACATCAAGAAAAAAATTAAATACAATCTAATAAACATTCTTTTTCAAGTATTTAACCCTTATTAACCCTCCTTCAAACTCCTCCGCTGTTTACGCGAGACGACCACGCAGTGGTTAGGGTGGCGGCACTGTAAGGCCGCTGTATATTTCTTGCTGCTGCTCTCTTATCCATCTTCTCTAAATACTTTTTTATTTATTTAACTCAATATTTAAACACCAATTCCCCTCTCCCGGTTGCAGTTTAACCACTAATGAAGATGCAGCAGCACCTTCACACTCAGCGCACACCAGGGGCCCCCCTACCGTCGCAGCCTACAGGGGAGCCTCCGCCTCCTGAGGGCCCCGTCCTTACATCTTGTCTCCGCGACGCCATTCTACAGGTCCTTATGGGGCCTCAAGGTCACCAGCTGCTCTCAGGGGCCTCCTTGGGGCCTCCTGTGGGGGCCTGCCCCGCTGCAGGGGCCCCCGTCGGGGCCCCTGTTGACGCAACTGCAACTATAGGGCCCCCCACAGGGACCCTTAACCCCCCCCATGAAGCCGCTCACTGCTCTGCAGCAGGGGTACCTCTTGGAACTTGTGCTGGGGGCCCCATGGGAACCCCGTCGCGGGGTGTTGGGGGCCCCTGCTCGGGATCTGTAGAAGTGCAGGACCAAGGAACTACGGGTAATAGCAACCATAAGAATACGGAGCAAGTTTTGTATTGTGTAGTTGTTTGCTGCTGCTGCATGTTTGTTTGCTGCTGCACGGTAGCAGGAGCACACTAGAGTTGTAGAGGTAACAAGACAGAAGGAATAAGCGTACACTTGCATGCAGTGCATGCGGTGGGCATACACTGCGAATAATAGAAGGAAAAAGAAGGGAAGAAACATATTTTAGTTTCTTACATAAAGGAGAAACAAATAGACAAACAGGGGCATCAACAGACACTGCATGCAAGCAACAATAAGCAGCAAGTAGCTGCAGCGCGCAGCACAAGAAAAGAGCAGCAAAAGAAGAGCGAGAGACAGGAAGGGAAAAACATAAATACAATACCTGAGGACAGAAAGATAGACAAAAAAGGAAAGAAAGAAAGAATGGATAAAGTTAATTAACATAAGAGAGAAGAGAATACTTTTTTCCTCCTTCTTTCCCTCTGCACATGAAGAAAGAAAAGAATACCTTTTTCCTCCTCCTTTTCTCTTGTCTATAGAGAAAAAAGAGAGAATAATCTTTTTCTTCCTTTTCTTCCTCTGTATATTAAGAAAGAAATAAGAAATAATACTCTTTTCTTCCTTCTTTCCTTGTGCATACTGCAGGTATATATGCTTCGCATGCACCTGCTGCAGCAAGAGCAGCAGCAGCAGCAGAACAAGAGGCGCTGCTGTTTAGCCGTCTTCGTGAGAAGGAGGCGAGCTCCCTATACACCCTAAATGTCTCTAAAATGCATGCAAATAGTTGAGGTGTCTGTACACCTCACGAATTAAAGGGGAAAATATATTATATAATATATATTATTATAATATATATTATATAGTAATAGAGTAGAAAAGAAGGAAAAATATTCCTTAATTATAATAAAAAAAATCCTCCTCCTCCTCCTCTTCCTGTGTGCATGCAGGTTGAGTGTACAAATGCTCGTTTGCTGCTGCAGCAGCAGCAAGCAGCAACAAGAGAAGCGCAGCAAAAATACAAAGAACATAGAGAGAGAGCAGCAGTCAGTAAATCTTCTTCTTTCCTATTTATGCAGATAATCCTTGGTGCAGCAAATAGATAAAACATAATTATTATACTCTTGCTGTTGCTGCTGCTGTTGCTGCTGCTGTTGCTGTTGCTGCTGCTGCTGCTGCTGCTGCAGACTCTCGCTCACCGTGTTGTACACGACCTTAAAGAACGCCGCCTTATGTCTAATCAGCTAGCAGAGGTTTGTTTATTCATAAACCCTAATTAGGGTTGTATAAACCCTCGTTATAAATATTGTCTTATAAACCCTAATTATATAATTGTCTTATAAACCCTAGCTATATTATTGTCTTATAAACCCTCGTTAATTGTCGTCTTGTAAACCCTAGCGTTAATCGCATTGGAACAGCTAATGGACTCATGGCCAGGGTTTAGGGTTTAGGGTTTAGGGTTTAGGGTTTGTTCTGCATGTTAGATGGAACAAAAGCTGTTAGAGGAAAGAGAATCATCAAGAAGACTTGAAGCAGACAAAAAGAACCTGGCAGGTCCCCACTGTTGCTGCTTCTGCTGCTGCTGGTGCTGCTGCTGCTGCTGCTGCTGCAGCACGAGCAAGAGCAGGATGAGGAGCAGCAGATCCCTAGGACAGTGGTTTTGCTGTAGACAGTTTGTTGCTGTATGCATGCTGTTGCTGCTGCTCTCCTTGGTGATGGTGCTGCTCTTGTGCTATTGCTGCTGCTCCCGTTGCTGCTGCTGCTGTTGCTGCTGCTGCTGTTCAGACACGAACAATTGGTCGCCTCAGGGGGAAGTTGGAGGAGACTTACAAAGAGTTAGATATGATTAGATCGCAGGTGCTGCTGCTGCTGCTGCTGCAGCTGTTGCTGCTGCTGCTGCTGCTAACATTCAGCACTAAGAGAGACTCTTGCTGCTAGTATTTACACCGCATGCAGCAGCACTGTCTTACAGCAGCAACAGCAGCAGCAGCAGCAGCAGCAGCAGCAGCAGCAGCAGCAGCTCCCCATGGGTTGCAAGTATGATTTATTGAAATATGTTAATTCTTCTAAGGAGAATATAGTTATATTTATTTATATTTATTTATTTATTTATATTTATTTTAATTAATTAATTTATGTATTTATATTTATTTATTTATATTTATTTATTTATATTTATTTATTTATTTATAGGTTATTTTTTTTATTTATTAGGCTGCAGAACTAAGCAATGAAAGAGAGAGAGCAGAGCAACAAACAGAAATCTTTAGGCATAATATTAAAGGAATGGGTACGTTACCTCTTCTCTCTCTCTTGCTGCTGCTGCTGCTGCTGCTGCTGCTGCTCCTACTCCCGCTGCTCCTGTTGCTGCTGCTGCTGCTGCTGATATCTGTAGAAGGGCTACTTATTTTGCTGCGCAGGCGACTTGCAGCGAAACCTCACAGAGGAATTGGCGGAGGTAAATGCAGCCATAGAAGGAGGCAGCTGCCCGTGCAGCAGCAGCACGAGCAGCAGCAGCAGCAACAACAACAACAACAGCAGCAACAACAGCAGCAGCAGAAGCATACAGAACTACTACCCTAATGGTGCACTGTTCACGATAACTGGCTTTGTATGACAAGTGCAGGCACTGACAAACACTGCAACAGTTCTAGGGTTTAGGGTTTAGGGTTTAGGGTTTAGGGTTTTGTGGCAGGCTCGAGAGAGAGTAAGTGCAGTTAAGAAAGAATTTAAACAAAAAGTTGGCGAATTACAAAAAGAGCACGAGGAATGGAGGCATATTATAGAGAATCATCAGCAACATATCAAGGTAATAAACTGCTGCTGCTGCTGCTGCTGCTGCTGCTGCTGCTGTTGCTGCTGCTGTTGCTGTACCTGCTTCTGCTGATGCTATTGCTGTGCTCCTTCTCTTTCTGTTGTTGCTGCACATCCTCTTGCTCCTCTATGGGGCAAAACGGGTTGGTTTAGGGTTTAGGGTTTAGCAATTAGTGTTTAGGGTTTAGGGTTTAGGGTTTACTATTGCTGTTGTGTTTGTATTTATGGATATAGGAGTGGCAAGATAAGTACGATGAGTCTCAGGCACAAGTGCGGTGAATGCTGCTTCTGCTGCTGCTCCTTCTGTTGCCCCTGCTGCTGCTGCTGCTGCTGTTGTTGCTGCTGCTCCTTCTGTTGTTGTTGTTGTTGCTGCTGCTGCTGCTGCACTCGTTATCTCCAAAGAAGACGGGGTTTTGCTGTTTGGTAGGTGGAGGCGGAGAAGGCAGCCATGGAGACACTCAGGCAAGTCCGCACACCTTTGCAGCAGCAGCAGCAGCAGCAACAGCAGCAGCAGCAGCAGTCCTCATCAATACTGTTTATGCTGCTGCGGTCTTAAGGGAATAAAGCCCTAAGAAGACACAAATGTGCTGCCAACATCAAACCCTAAACCCTAAACCCTAAACCCTAAACCCTAGCAATAGTGTCTGCTTCCTTCAGGGGACAGTATGACCAGCTGCAAATATTCGCTAATGATTTGGCTGCGGAAAAAGAAGAGACGCATGCGTCCGCAAAACCCTAAACCCTAAACCCTAAACCCTAAACCCTAGCAGCCGAGCTCACCAAGCCTTAACCCCCAAACCCTAGCAGCAGAAGAAAATGTTTAAGACAGGAACAGGAGAACAGACTGTCTGCTGTCCCTTCTACAGCATATTAAAAAGTTAACCTTTAGGGCTTTAAGGGTTTAGGGTTTAGGGTTTAGGGTTTAGGGTTTGTCCTGTGGCATTGCAGACAACTGCGGCAACAAATGCAACTTAACGAGCAGCTGCAGGCTGACCTTAGTGAGTAATTGTTAGCAGCACAGACACTTAATTGCATGCATGCATGCATGCATGCATGCTCCTTTGGGGCTTTTTCTGCTGCTGCGCTGCAGCTGAACTCACCGAGAAGCTGCTGCTGCAGGAGCAGAAGAGGAAGCAGCAGCAACACAAATGGAGGCGTGACCACATCTCAGCAGTAGACCAGTACTCTAAACCCTAAACCCTAAACCCTAAACCCTAATGCATTGAGTGCATTTGTTTTACGATAAGCACTACAGGAAACAGAAGAATATATTAATGGTGTTTTGCTGCTGCTGCTGCTGCTGCTGCCTGTTTCTTCTTTGTTTGTTTTTCTTTATGGTGTCTGTCTCCTGCTGCTCTTTATCTGTCTCCTTATTGTCTCCTTACTGTCTCCTTTTTGTCTCCTTATTGTCTCCTTTTTGTCTCCTTAATTTGCTGCTGCCTCTGCTGCAGGAAGCGAGAGGCAAGAGAGTTCGCCTTGCGCTTCGTTGAAGCAGCAGTGCAGGTAACCCTTAATTGCTTGCCTGCTGCTGCTGCTGCTGCTGCTGTTGCTGCTGTTGCTGTTGCTGTTGCTGCTGTTGCTGCTGCTGCTGTTGCTGTATCTCCTCCCCTTTCCTCCACAGCGGCAGCTTCCGAGCAAAACAATCACGGAGAGAAGACAACTTGCTGCTGCTGCTGCTGCTGCTGCTGCATTCGCGTTGCAAACCAGACACAGCAGCAACAGCAGTGGCAGCAGCAGCAGCAGCAGCAGCAAATTGTATAAATTATTATTATGCAGGCGGATGTAGAGTCTTGTTTATCTGAGGAAATGTTAGAGGAGACACCGCATGCACATTCTATTAAATCTAACCCTCTTAATACTATCGCCAGAGGGTATGCTGCTGCTGCTGTTGCTGCTGCTGCTGCTGCTGCTGCTGGTGATAGTGGTAGTGGTAGTGGTGGTGGTGGTACTGGTGCTGGTGGTGCTGGTTCTGCTGCTGCTGCTGTTGCACCTGCTGTGCTGCTGTTATGGCTGTTGCTGCTGCGCCTCTCCTCTGTTGCTGTTGCTGCTCTTTTGGTGCTGCTGCTGCCGCTGCTGCTGCTCCTGCTGCAGCTGTTATCCGACGCATGCATGCGTTGTGCATGCAGTTCCTGGACTCGCAACGATTAAAGAAATAATAGGGTTTATTTATTTTTCCTTTATTGAGGTGTACATGCAGCTAGTAGCAGCAAGAGGGGACAGCATCTTTCTCTTGTGTATGCAGTGTACATACACCCCAACAGTATATATAGAGAAGCTGCTGCTGCTGCTGCTGCTGCTGCTGCTTCTACTGCTACTGCTGCTTCTGCTGCTGCTGCTATATTTAAAGGCTGTCTATATCTATTTGTTTTCCCTCTGGCGGATCATTTAGGGTTTAGGGTTTAGGGTTTAGGGTTTAGCGTTTACAGCTGACTGGCCGCACAGACCCTTCTGTCTCTTAGTGTCTCCTTATTTATATAAATTGTCTCCTTATTATTATTTATTTTCTTTTGTTGCCTCCTTTTGTTCCTTTTTGCTGTCTCCTTTTAATTAATAATAAATAAATAAATAAATAAATAAATAAATAAATAAATTTATTATTATTAATTGTTTTCTTTTTTTCTTGTCTCCTTAGCAAATAAACAAAAAAAGGAGACAAAATATAAACAAATAACATATAAATAATTAATTACTTTTATTTTCTTTTTTATTTCTTTCTTCCCTTCTCTCCATACCTATAACTAATAATAACTAATAATTAATAATAATAATAATAATAATAATAATAATAATAATAATAATAATAATAATAATAATAATAATAATAATAAGAACTAATAATAATAATATATAATAATAAGAAGAACAATAATAATTATATAAAAACCCTTATTTGCTTTCTTTCTATAAAGTAGAAAATATAATTTGAACCCTACTAAACCCTAAACCCTAAACCCTAAACCCTAAACCCTAAACCCTTGTAAGTCACTAGTGGATCTCTAACTCTCCTCATTGTTCTATAATGTCTTAATTAAATTAGTGTATTTATTTATTAATGTAAATAAACAAAAAAGCAAACAGCAGCAGCAGCAGCAACAACAACAACAGCAGCAAATGCATGCATTATTGCATGCAGTTTATGCTGTTTGTGTGTATACACTGCAGCACAAACCCTAGGGAGGGAAGAAGGAGAGAAGAACGAGGGCTTGTCTTATGATTAATAATATTAATAAAGAATTAATTTAACTAAAAATAAATAATAATAAATAAATTAATAGCAATAAGTTTATAAATAATGCCTTATGCAGTTGAGGTGTACAGACACCGCAATAAGGCGAGCACATGCATACATATACATACATGCACACTGTGTATACTGCATGCATTAATTGATGAATTAAAAGTAAATATATTTTAATTATTAATTAATTAATTAATTAATTATTTAAAAATAAACAATATTAATATATTTATTAACACAAATATAAATAATAAGCCGCAGCAGCAGCAGCCGGGCAGGCCCACGACCTCGTACAGCAGCAGCAGCAGCAGCAGCAGCAGCAGAGGCAGCAGCAGCAGCAGCAAGAAAGGGGCCTACTTATAGGGTATAATTGAAGGGCTTAGTAGATGTTATTGTATATAAATTAAATAAAAAAGAATAAATAAATAAATAAATAAAAAATAAAAGAAAAAGAAGAAGAAAAAAACAATAAAAAGAAAGAGGGGGGATGATGTGGCTCTGCTGCGTCGATCTCTGTTGTCTCTAGCAGCAGCAGCAGCAGCAACAGCAGCAGCAGCAGCAGCAGCACGAGAGGGAAATTGTTCATACAAACAGATGCATATAAATACATTTTTTTATTCTTTTTTTTTTATTTATTAATTAAATAAATTAAATAAAAAAATAATAAAAAAAAAGAAGACCTCCTCTTTCCTCTTTTTTATTCATTTCTCCTTGGGGGGACCCAAGGGAGGCTTGCTATTATATAAATAAGCCCTCCTCCCTGCTGCTGCAGCATCTGCTGCTGCTGCTGCTGGGGTAGCAGCAGCAGAAACAGCAGCAGCAGCACGAATTGTAGCAACAGCAGCAGCAGCAGCTACTGGTTCCCCACTAGCTCAACACCACGAGCAGCAGCACGGGACTGGCTCCCCCGAGGTATTCGAGCAGCAGCAGCAGCAGCAGCAGCACGAAGTACAGCAGCAACAGCAGCAGCAGCAGCAGCAGCAGGAAGGCGTAGAGTGGTGAGGAGGACACAGGAGGTACAGACAGCACAAGGGCCTACAGCCGGCAGCAGCAGCAACGGCAACAGCACAGCAGCAGCAGCAGCAGCAGCAGGAAGCCAGCAGCAGCAGCAGCAGCAGAGGAACAGGAGCAGATGCCAAGGGATCAGAGAGAGTAAGACACAGACAACCATCTGCTGTCTGCTGCTGCTGCTGCTGCTGTTGCTGTTGCTGTTGCTGTTGCTGTTGCAGTTGCTGTCCTTCATTCCCTCTGTCTTTGTTTACTTTTCTCTGCATGCATGCATGCATGCATGCAGATGCATGCAAATGCATGCATGCAGACGCATGCATTTATTTTTCTTTTTTTTTCTTCTTCTTGTGCCTGCATGCGCAGCACGTGGGATCGGGATCGTTATTCCCGATCCCGATCCCGATCCCGATCCCGATCCCGGTCTGTTAACTCTGTTGATGAAAAGGTAATACAATAACAACAGAGCTGCTGCTGCTGCTGCAGCAGCTGCTGCAGCTGCTGCAGCTGCTTCTGGTGTTGCAGCTGCTGCTGGTGTTGCTGCTGTTGTTGCCGCTGCTCTTGTTCGTCTTGTCGTTGCTGCTGCTGCTGCTGCTGCTGCTGCTGCTACTGCTGCTGTTGTGCGTTGCCTGTAGCTTGCATTTTGCTTCTATCTGTACAATTGCTGCTGTTGCTGTTGCTGCTGCTTCTGCTGCTGTTGCTGCTGCTGCTGCTGCAGCTTAAGAGGAGGAGAGAGGGCAACAGGAACGATGAGTTTATAGTACGTCCTTATTTATTTATTCTTTTTTATTTATTTCTCTCTTTTTTCCTCTTATTTACCAATTAACTAATTAATTAATTAATTAATTAATTAGTTAACTTAATACATATATACGTATATATGTATATACATTTATATGTTACTATACATATAATTAGTTACTAATTAAATAAATAAAACAAATAAATAAACAAATAAACACAATTTACTAAATAAATAAATAAATAAATAAATAAATAAATAAATAAATAAATAAATGTGTATATATGTATGTATAGGGTACACGTGCCCATACAGAGGGTACTCGTCAATTATTGCATAAAATAGATTATAAGAAACAGCAAGAAAAAAAGAATAAATGTACATTATTTATATCTAATTTATCTGTAGAATTAACAGAAAATGAATTAAAATTAATATTTAATCCTTTTGGTGATATAAAAAGCATTGAGCTGCCTAGACACCCGGATAATAATAAAATTAAAGGATTCGCTTTTATTGAATATGCACAAGAAGAACATGCGGTAAATCTAATTAATTTATTTTATTTTATTTTATTTATTTTATTTATTTATTTATTTATTTATTTATTTATTTGCTTTTTTATGTATTTATTCATGTATTTATGTATCTAATTCATTATGTTAAAAAGATTGGCTTTTATTGAATATGTACAAGAAACACATGCGGTAAATTATACAATTATTTAATTTATTTATTAAATTATTTATTTATTTATTTATTTATTTATTTGTTTTTTATCTATTTATTGGTATATTTATTCATGTATTTATTTATATTATTCATAAAGTTAAGGGATTCCCCTTTATTGAATGTGCATTATGTGACCATGTGCTAAATATACTTTTATTTAATTAATTAATTTAATTATTTATTTATTATTAATTTATTATTTATTTATTTGTTTGTTTAATTGTGTATTTAATTATGTATTTAATTATATATTTATTCATGTATTTATTCATGTATTTATTGATGTATT